CTTTATCTCTACATACCACTTCCCAGCTTATCCTATAATCTGTCTTCTCTTGCCTTGGTTCCCACAAGAAATCCCTCATCATTTTTTCTATCTTTGTGCATAGATTTGCTAGGATTAAAAAAAAAAGACTAGTAAATTGGTAAGTTGTCTAGAGTTCATCTAATCAAAGTGATCTTGGCTCCTAGAGATAAATTCCCTCTCTTCTAGCAAGCAAGCATTTTTAGAAAATCTTTCTATCATAGTATTCCAAAACCCAACTTCTCTTGGGTTAGCTCCAAGGGGTAAACTTAGGTAAGTTAGAGGCCACTACACCCTAAGATGTTTGCACAATGTCATTTCCCCATCTTCCATATTAATCCTCACTAGTGCTATGCAACTTTTTTTCAAAGTTTATCTTTAAATTTGACATTTTTTCCAAAGAATTGCACTGAAAGCTTTAATTTTTTTATCCATTCAAGTTCATTTCTTTCACAAAAAAGGATGGTATCATTTGTGAACTATAAGTGGGTAATTGGCACTCCATCTCTTCCCACTCTCCACCCTCGCACTAGTCCCCTCAAGTTTGCCCTCAATATAATTTTGCTAAGGACATCAGCAATAAGGGAGAGAGTGGACATCAGCACTAGTCCACTCTCCTTGTCTTATCCACACTTAGCTAGAAAGAAATCTACCACTGTGCCATTTACTAGCATTGAATAATGGCAAGCTCTCAAGCACCCATGTATCCATTTGCACTATCTCTCTCCGAACCCACATTGCCTCAACAAGGTCATAGGCTTTTCCCAAGTCCAGCTTGCAAATAATGCCTTTTTTCTTAGGCCTTTTCAGTTCCTCAACATATTCATTAGTAATCAAAATTTGATCAGTTATCTGTTTATTCTACACAAAGGCTCATTGTTCAAGAAAATAATGGAGCGGAGAATTTCCCACATTCTTGTGGACAAAACCTTAGTTGTTATTTTGTAAAGGATATTCACCAAGCTAATTGGTCTAAAGTCTTTGGAATGGACAGCTCCCTTCCTTTGAGGGATCAAAGCAATGAAAGTGGAGTTCAAACTTGGATTTATTTATACCCCTTTCAAAGAATTCATTAAAGGTCTCCACTAGGGGTGCAATAAAACATAGTAATCCATCTGGTCCTAGATCTTTGGTTTTGTCCATTGAAAACACTTAGGGGTGTTGTCGAACCGAGTCGAGCCATACTTTGGCATGTCTTGGCTCAGGTCAACTAACATACTACTTGGTTCAAGCTCGAGTTCAAGTTCGACTTGAACCTTATTTTTTGGTTTGAGCTTGTTTCGGTTAAATATTTGATGATCTCAAGTTCGGCTTGAAAGGTAAAAAATGAATATATTTTTATATTTTGCAAATATATGATATATTTTTATAATATATAGCATATTCCCATATTATGTATAAAATATAAAAATATATATTTTGAGCCAAAGTTTTTATTGGTCAAGCTTGAGTTTGAATAACTAATCAAGCTTACCTTGAGATTTGAGTTTGATTCGAACTCATTTAGAATCGATCCCCCAAAAACATTGCCTCCTTAATCTCCTCCTCAAAAGTCCTTTCCGACCATGCCTTTTGGTCTTCTGATAAGCTAGGCCAATCCAATCCATGAATTCACAAATTTTCACCTAAAGGCCTTCTAAATATTGATTTAAAATGCTTCTCAAAGGTCTTTGCAATCTCTTTCATTTGAGTGATGACTTCACCTTCTAGCTCTAGTTTGGAAACAAAATTATTCCTTCTTCTAGCATTGGCCCAAGCATGAAAAAATTTTGTATTCCATCACCCTCTTGAATCCATTTAATCCTCAACTTTTACCTCCAATTAACCTCTTCCTTAAAAAGAATATCTTCCAATTGCCCCTTCAACGACCACCTTAGTTCTCTGTCTCTCTCCACAAAGAGGCCCTGAAGCTCTTTAGAATTCAGCCCTTCAATTTGATTCATAACCTCTTCTTTCCTTTCTTCTAGTCTCCCAAAATGCTCTATATTCCATTCCTTGATTTTTTACCTTCAGTGCTTGTAGCTTTCTATGAAAGGGCACTCCTTTCCATCTCATTCTAAGCCTCTCTTCCTCCCACCATTCCTTCATTTTTTGTGTAAACCTAGGATGGCTTAGCCGCACATTTTCAAATCTGAAAGGGGCAGGGCCCAAGCCTCACATTAGAAGTTACCCCAGGAAGGGCCCTAGATGCTAACCCACCCCAATGCTCCTCCCAATCCACCAAGGAAAAAAAAATCTATCTAACCTGGAGCATGAAGGGCTGATTTGCAGATTAGACCAAGTGAAATTCTGGTGGAAGGGCAGATCCTTAAGCCAGTAGGAGTTGATAAAATGGCTGAATTTCCTCATGTTTATAGTCTCGGGCTATTTATCTCTTCTGTGAATCTAACCACATTAAAATCCCCCCCAATATACCATGGCCCCTCCCACAATCCTCTAATGGCACTAAGTTCTTCCCACATTTCATTTCTTTCTCTATAACCATTTAGACCATAAATATTGGTTAACACCCACTCAACCATCCTCAATCTGTCGAAACTTGGAGATAGTGAAATTACCAACCACAATTCTTCCAATCCTTCAAGAACACCAGTCCTCCATGAAGTAATAATACCTCCTGATGCCCCCCAAGAAGGGGCCATAGTCCAATTAATACCTTTGACCTTCCACAAGCTTCTAGCCCATCTATTGTCAAATTCTGCCAGTTTGGATTCCTGCAAAAGGACTAAATTAGGATTTTCTTTCCTAAGTACCTCTCTTATAACTGCTCTTTTCCTTGCACTCCCTAGTCCTTACACATTCTAGCTAATAATCTTCATTTACACCCACTAACCTTTTCCCCCTTATTTTCTCCCTTCTACTTCCATCCTCTTCTTCTCTCATTTCTTCCATTAAACTCCTTATCACCTTCAATATCTAGTCTCAATCTTTCTGCTTCACATTGCTTTTCTTCTTTGCTTTCCTTCCATCTTCAAGCTTCTTAACATAGGCTTTCAAATCATTAGGGTCCTTAAACTTGCATCCCAGTTTCCCAACAAAGTCTGCAATAGAGTCATCAACCCTTCCTACTTCCTTCTCCCTACTAAAATCAGCGGATTGATCATCAGACTTGTCATCTAATCTTGTCACTTCATTCCCTGGACTCTCCCTTCAATTCTTGCTCCCTTTTGTAGCTCCTTATGTTTTAAAGCCTCAAACAAGCTACTAATGAGTTCCAAGATCCTTTCTCCTTTTTCCTTCTCCTCTGTCTTCTCTTCCCACCCTGTTCTCCAAATTCTTCTCGAAGTCTACAATCTCTCCTGCTAATTCATGGGCTCTTGGCTCAAGGGAAGGATTGGACACCGGAGTACCTGCTTCAGGCACAACAGAGGGGTTAATACCAAAAACTGAAACAACAACAGTACCCGAGGCTGAATGGGGTTGACCAGTAAGAGCCAATGCTTCACTCTCTGCCTTCTTATCCTGCTCAAATATCTGTACAGAGCCTACCACCTGGGTTTTCTAAACGAAGTTTCCATGTCAACAGTAAACCTTTGATCACTTAACAGACCTCTTTTGATCGTCCCTGTTCAAAGTGTTTATGCTTGGCTTTTGAAGATCCTTGTCTATCTCCTTACATATGCCTTGATTTTTCTGAAGACTGGGTTTTTAATCTCTCTCTCCCAGGTTATCAGCTTCATCCTTCGTTTGTGTCCTTGGCACAAACTTCACTTGCCTAAGAAGTAAAAATTACCAAATCTTCAATTGTCCGGACCCCAGAGACAATGTAGGCATTCGTTGATCTCCTTGCCAAACAGATGCCTCTGAAACATTTGACACCTTACCATGTTTCCATTGCAGTAACCAATTGGGACTAACAAAGACCTAAAACAGATAGGAGAAAGTTTCAAGAAGGTAGTATTTGTATATTACTAACCAATCATCTTACCTGGAACATTTGTATATACTACCTGTTGGCATCTCTTATACATCTGTATATAGGGATGTTATGTTAGATCATATTTACGAGGATAGCAAACCACGTTTTCTTTGAATGTCACCATGATTTGGTTAAAGACATTTTGATTTTCAGGGTGTCAAGCAAATCTTGGTGAAACTTGGGGCAAAAGGATCGGCTCTATTCATAGAAGGAGAGGAACCAATAAGACAGCCCATTATTTCAGCTTCAAAAGTTATTGATACAACTGGTGCTGGTGATACATTCACTGCCGCTTTTGCCGTGGCTCTTGTAGAGGGCAAGTCCAAAAAGGAGTGCTTGAGATTTGCTGGTATGTATGGTCCTTGCTTCTTCTTGTGTTATTTTTCCTTCTCTAAGGCACAAGGTCATCAATGATCCAGCTAACTAAGCTTGTTCATTAGCTTGGTTCTTGTGCTGAATTTTTTCAAGCTAGTGAACCAACCCTGATCTTCAAATCTAACTATGTTATATTAGCTCAATGCAGTTAGGGCAGGTTCAGATTGGTTTAGGCTTGGCGCATGTAGATTTTGTATTATTATCAGTTAGCTATAAAGGTCAAGTGTGAAGAAATTATACCATGTATTGATAAAGAAAAGAAGTTATACCATGCCACTTTACTACTATTTTCTTTAACTTTGATTAATCACAGAAGTGGACTTTGGATTATTAGGGTTTTCTAGCTTGCAAACACGTGCAGCTTTTTTTAAGCTTCTTGCACCATAGGCTATGTTTGTTCCTATATAGAAGGGGTGGAAAACAAAGTTCTGGTGGTAAAAAGAAAACCAATGCAAATATACAGATTGAAAAATAATTCCACCTACTTTATAATGAAACAAATGGAACCAAATGAAATATGGTTGCACATGGTAGTGATCAAAATGACTTTTCATGTGGCTATTGATGCTTTTGATACACTACCATACAGAGGCTTGAGCATGTAATTTCTCGGTCCTCACTTGTTGCAACCACAATCAAACAGTTAGAGCTGCTCGATTTAGTGCATGTACATCCTTTTGACTATGGGGCTAATATTGACCCAAAATTTCAAATGGACCTAGTTGACTCAACCTTGGCATATCCAATTTGTCAACAAGCTGAGCCTGAGCAATTTGACCTGCACCATTTAGTTTTACAAGCTTATCTAAAGGTCACAAGCCTAAGTTGGGCAAAGTTATTGGCTGAGCTCATCCTAATGCCAGCCTTGCCTGCCACTTATTTTCTCACAACTCTTTGGTATTGCAGCTGCAGCTGCTTCTCTCTGTGTTCAAGTGAAGGGGGCAATTCCAAGCATGCCAGAGAGGAAAGCAGTCCTGAATCTTCTTCAATCTCTTTGAGCATGTTTATATTTATTGGAAGGTATCACACTTCAAATAAATGATGTTATTTAAATCCAGAGAAATAAGATCTAAAGTTAACGTGTTTATTCGTTAGGTCACAAATCATGCACCACCTTGAACTGGCATGAATACTTCTGAGACAGATCCAATGGCCATCAATATCAGGATAGCTTCATTCCCATAGCCCACAACTCTTTCCTTTGTTTATCCAAAACAGATCCAATGGCTGAATTATGGACCTTGAAAGTCAGTTTGCAACTTAGTCAGGGAAGCCCACTATGTTTTAACACTGCTTATAATATATAAGTTCTTGTTCTTGTTTGAGATTGCACTTAGGGAGACTTCTGCAGCTTTTGGTGGAGCCATTTTGGCCCTGGCTTACCATCAAGTCTTGCTTTTTTATGGTAATTCTGATTTTTGAAATTACCCTTTTATTTATTTATTTACTTTTCCTTTCCTACATGAATTAGAAATTCCGTGGAAGCACTCCCAATAGAAGCACTTTACTAGATGTTACTAAACGTTGCAATCCGCGGAATTGCTTCGAGTAGGTGCTTATGGTTATGTTTGTTTGCGGTGCAATTTCATTTGCACTGTTATAAATGCATGGGAGTGCAAATGAGAATAAATATTGTAAATTTTGGTTCATTTTTGCTTTTGATTCTATTATTTTTCTCCAGATTTTATTTTACTTCATCTATCATGCATATAAACAAAACAAAGTAAAACTTGCAACCAAATTAAACCATAATTTGGACAATTGGACTCAACTTTTTTGCATTCCCATACTTTTGCATTAGCGGAAATGGAATTGCACTGCAAGGGCTTCTCCAACTTCTGAAAAGAGAATTGCTTCCCCTTCATCTCACATGTCTTTGGTGATTCACTGTTAGTATGTTAGCAAGCTGAGGTCATTTTTGCCCCAGAAGAAGTCACCAAAACCTAGCCTTCCATCCAACATTCCAAGGGAACGTTTGGGAGGGCTTTCATGTAGTGGCTTTTGGCTTTATAACGTGAGTTCGTGAAAAACCTGGAAAGCTCTGATATGCTTTTATTGGGTCAAGAAATCAACGTTTTGGTGAAGCTAGTTTTAGTAGCATCTTCAAAGCAGCTCAGTGAAAGCAATTCAATCAAAGGACTTCACCGGAAAATCAATATATTGGCTGAACGAAAGTGTATTTGGCCTTTTCAGGCATTTTACCAAACATAGCTTTTAGGTTGTCTGTGTGGGGCCTATCTTGCGAAGCCAAAGCTGCTGACCATGCTTGTCTCCAAAAATAAAATAACAAAAAAATGGGCCGGGTTCCGGGTGGGCCTGGACACAACCTAGGCCCAAGCCCGGAAATTTCTGGGCTGAAGCAGGCGGGTTTATAAGTAATCACAGCTGCACTAGAGTCTCTCTAGAAAGTAGAAACAGAAGCTGCCAAAGCCTTAGCCTCCTGAAAGTTGGCTCTCAACGAATGCAGTATCCGAAAATTATATATAGCACTTGTTCAAATTTTAATTACTTGCAAAATACTCCTCTTTCCCTCTAATCCTATTTCCTAATTAATTTTTTAAACGTTAAACATATAGAAATCCAGTAATCCACAAACCCTTAAATAGCTATGGGTCCGAAAACTAATACATTTTGTATGATATGTACCAATACATAACCTTGTCTCCTATAGATGCTCCTGTGAATTGGTGGAGAGAGAGAGAGAGATGAACATGGGGCTGTCCAAATCCAACAAAGTTGACTCTTATAAAAATCAGGACCATTCCCAACCCCCTAATAAAGCCCAGCCACATTGACCAGGCCCTAGTAAGGGGCAGCCCAACCCCGCAAATCCAACACAGTTGTCCCATAAACAAAACCCTAATTGCTGTGCTTTAAGGTGCATAGATGGATATGGACTAATACATGGGCCCAGTGGTCTTTTTACGCTTTAATGCTTGTGTTTATCAACAAACACTACACTGGGTTGGAGCTTGGAGCTGAGTATGGGCATAGATGGTAAGTGCTCACATGGAGTGGTCCTTCCAGGCTTAGAAGTAGGCCACCACCAACACCACTGGGCACCGGCTGGGCATGGCAGTATATGGATCCTGGAAGCAGATTGCTGACTACATTTAATGGTCATTTCAGTCTTTGAAGTGTGGGGCCATCAACAAACATTGATTTGGCTTTGTGTGGATTATGGAAGTGTGTTGCTGAATGCATTCAAATGGACTGACTATTCAGGCTCCAAAGTGGGGGCAGCCACTTGTATATAATTCTACTGCTTATGTCTTGTTGTTGTTGGTGATGCTGAAATGACTTTGAAAAAGAAACCAGGAAGACTCACCCAGAGGAGAAAATATCACATCCCCTCCTTTGTCAATCACAACAAACAGGGAATGAGTGTACCAGAGAAGGCCACAGCTGAGAGGAATTGGCACTTTTAGCAAGCACAAGCAAAACCCATCATGTCCCACCAAGGAAATTTCACAGGCCAATTGCTATCTCGCACACACATGCGCACACACGTCCGCCACGCCAACTTACACATGAATCCTTTGGAGGGCATGATAGGGGTGGAGTCGAGTCAAGTTGAGGTCGAAATTCAACTCGAGCCCGGTCCAGTTTTATATACTGGACTCGAACTCGACTTGAGTTGATATTAAATAAGTTAATATTGAGTATATTAAAAAATTATAAATAAATCAATATTAAGTATACTAAAAATAAAAATATATTTTGAAAATCAATTATAAATGTATTTATTTATATTATAAATAAGTTAATATAAAAAATTTAATGTTTATTTATATTTTAAATACAAATATATTAAAAAATATTATTTTATTATGAGCTCGATTAAGCTCGCGAGCCATCCAAGCTAGTTATTGTGAAGCTTAAATTCCACTCAAGTCAAATTTGACGCACATTCAATTTGATTACTGCAAGTCAAACTAGAATATTTAACAAGCCGAGCTCAAATAGCTCACGAATAGACTAAACTTGCTTAAACCCTAATCATGTGCTTAAACCCTAATCATGTGTGTCAGACCCAATTAAGGGGTTGGTGGGGTTAGTGACAGGGTGGGTATACACAGGCTGACTGGTACAATGTAAAAAGCATGACTTTCCGCAGTTTGAACCAGTGCTTCCTCAACACTAAGGATTCCCTACGACCAACTGGACATGAACCATCTTCATTGAGCATCCTTAAATATGTCTTCTCCTTCCATCTATCCATTTCTGCACACAGTCCACAAGGGGATGGGCCTGTACCTGGGGTGGTTGTTCAGATGCAAGAGCAATAAAGAGCTGCTTCTACCACATGGAGTTCACATGTTACACCATCTTATCCCTTCCTCACGTATTGAGTTTTTTTCAAATCAAAGGGCCATGTCCACGTGAAAAGCAGTACCTTCTCTTGTGTCTTTTTTGTTTTTCATACCCCAAAACCAAAAAGGATGGCTTCAATAGCCGACAAAGGTACCTTTCATATTTTCACGTTCGAAAATTTAAGGGAATTTTGCTTTTATTATAAGTGGGCATTGAAATTGTTATTTTATTACATGAACAGGGAAATTGATTCCTAAGAGCATCCCGTGCTTCCTATGTTAGAGAGCTCAATTGAGTTTTATGTATCTCGAACTCGATTCAAGTTGATACTCACAAAGTCACAAGCTATTTGAGCTTGGTTAGACTCGAGTCAATTATAAATAAATTAGTATTGGAATTATAAATAAATTAATGTTAAGTATATTAAAGTAAAGATAAATCAACAAGTTATAGATATTTTAATATTATAAATAAATTATGAATTCTTAAGACCAAATAGTCGGGCGGACAATTATAAATGTATTCAATTCTTTATATTATAAATAAGTTAATATAAAAAACTAATGTTTATTTATATTATAAATGCAAATATATTAATAAAATAGTATTTTATTATGAGCTCCATTAGGCTTGCAATCCACTTGAGCTGGGTATTGTGAAACTAAGGTTATGCTTGAGTCAAGCTCGACTCAAATTCAATTATAGAGCTGTAAAACGGGCCGTGTTGGGCCAACACGGCACGGCCCACATATGGCCCACATAAAGTCCGGGTCGTCCTGGGCTGTGCCTCCCTCCCTTGTGATATTTTGAGGGGACGGCCTGGCACAGCCCACGACCTTAGCCCGCATAGGCCCATGCCATGCCGTGGGTCTGGGCTGAACGGGTTGCAAGCCGTGTTGTGGGCTTGGGCCGAATCGAGCCAGAAAGGCCTAGACTTTTTGTTTTGCTAACTTTCCTTTGGGCTTTGTAGCTTTTCCCAATTGCCCACTTTTGGAACAAATTGAAAAAAAAAATAAAAAATCTAACAACAAAATGAAAAAAAAATACTTACCAAAATACAAAATGGGCAGCAAATTGGAAAAAAAATAGGAATTTTATTTCATTTAAAATATAAAAAATTACAAATTGAAAATAAAAAAGTTGCATTATTGAAAAAATAACAAATAAGTTAAATAAAATTGAAAAAATTACTCCATCTCCTTGACGTTAATCATTTGCTTCATCAGGTGTAGTAGTGTCATGCCCTTTTTTGTCTTGTAATTTATCCTTAGCATTTAGCAAATCTTTAAAGTAGATGTCTTTTTCTTGTTTTTCATGGAAGAGCAAATGACTGGCCAAGTGGCTAGTACCACCCTTGCTATTGAAGTTAAAGTCAATCCTACATTTTTGGCAAACAACTCTTTTTCCCTTCCCCTTAACCTCCTCTATTTTAAATATTTTCCAAATTGGATTAGTGAACTTAACATTAGGGAATTGGTTTCGAGAGGAGGAACCAACCGTTTTTTTAATTTTGAAAAAACAAACATTAATTTAATTGCACTTACCCAGATGGTTGGATTACTGATTTAGAATCTCAACTTGATTTCAACGGTTGAAGCCTCTCAAAGCCTTCTAAATGGCTAAATTGCTAAGCGCATAACTGCCTAAGTGTATGACAGTATGTCGGTATGACAATATGATAGCATGATAGTATGAGACTGTATGGGAATTGGGATGAGAGATCGAGAGAATATGAGAATTACTGAATTGATGTGATGATAATGGTGGACTAGTGTGGAGTCATGGAAGATAGGATTATTTATAGGAATTAAAAATCATTCAATTGCCCAAAATACCTAAAAATTAGCTACTTTTTAGTTGTTGGGAGAGGTATTTTGGTCATTGTAAAGCCAAAATACATAAATAGCCCCTATATAGCTATTTATAGGCTTATTAGCTTATAGTTGTTGATTGAAGGGGTATTTCTATAAAAACCCCCTAAAAAAGCTGAAACTAGTCGTATGGGGGTCACCCAAGGG